ATGAAACGCGCATCTTGGATTTCACTGCTACCCACTTTCCATCTTTGCTCATAATGCTTAACTTTGAGATATTCAGCTAACGAAATTTGATTCAAACCACTAATTGATCAACGTTAGACAAACACTGAATACACTGGAAACACTGAACGATTATTTTGTCCCCGTATGGGACTTCCCAACAATGGGCATCTTCATCTCAACTCGCAAGAGTCAAATCTATTACTTTCGTTCTCATGCATGTCAACCCTTAACCTCTGAATAACTGAGTCGTCATTCAAAGGCGTTAATATTTAATTAGTTTTCAGTTTTAAGACATCAATTTGGAAACATCTTTATCAGTTCATTGCGATAAATGTCTGATAACTTCAGAAAATTGATCATGACCAAAGTAGAATAATACGAAATTGGATAAATATATATTACAAATAACTGATATCACCCAAAAAAAGTGTTATTAAAACAAGTTATATATAAAATAAGTTATTTTAAGCATATTTTAGTGTTATGAGGTTAGCCTTTAAAAAGAAAATTCATTTCTGTCTAAAGCTTATTTACGTGTAGCATTAGAAAATTACACTTGTGTTCTTAAATCAGTATCCTATTTTTGTGCTTGTTTATCTTTGTCTTTCCTTTATTGAATGATGGTATGAAATATTCAAACTATCAAATAACACTCCCAATATATCACAGTGTAACCTTTTAATTCATTCTCTCTATCTATCTATCTGTCTATTCGCACATCATCTCTGCAGACATTTAGAATGGAATCACAGATGACTATAGATAGATGTAATTCATTTGTTTAGTTTGTTTTTATTTTGTTAGAAATAACTTATAATATCTAAATTTCTTATATGAAAATGTTGTCAATATATGATATATGTTGATTATAGGCAGATTCTCCTTCATTTTCCCTTCAACAATAAAACAAAATGAAACAGATAGAGGAGAAAATGAAAGTGGATAAATATATAGGTGAGTATCAAATTACATAAACTACAGTTAATACTGTGACTATTTACAGACAAAGAATTATGACGATATTATACTGACATATATGTATACCTTCCTTGTTAATTTGATCCCGTTTGGGTGCATGTTTATATGTATGTTAGCGATTTATAGAAGTCAATTATTCAACAGAAATTTTAAGCAGAATAGTAATAAGAACATAGAAATGACAAAAAGTGAAACGTTTAAATCCTTATTCCTCTTAAATATTTAACCAGATTTGAGCGGATCTGAACTACTCTTGAACTACTCTAGCTACACTATTGATCAGCCCTGCTTTGGGAAACTTAAATAGCTATCTAATGTATAAATGACCACAACCTGGATAGTTAATGTCTTTGTTTAGTTTACTGGGGTTTCAAACTACTTATATTACTGAATCGTGTATAATGTGCAAAATATAAATGGATTTAGAAGAAAATTTTTATTATTGATTAGGCTTGTAATTGACTAATAGATCTATACTTCATAGAAAACGATAAAGTAAATTATTTAACTAAGACTAAATGTATGCATGAGGTCTTCTATAAAAGATGGTTAGCTTAAATACTCTGTAATACTAAATAGGAGTTAAATACTGTTTCCACTAATAGAGCATCAGACAACCATTTTGTATAACGCTGGTTAGTATCTGAACCTTAATCCACGTCCTTTCTGGATGCAGAACTGTGTAAATTTGAGGCTTTTCAATAATTAATTTAGTAGTAACCACTGTCATATTATATCATTTGAGATAATAAAACTCTATGTCAACATGGAAAGTGGTCAAAATCCTAGGAGATTCAACATTTTGGCGTATTCTTTTTTATCCTAGTTGGTTGAAGGGAATTTACAGGAAGTCTTTGACCTGGATTTCAAGTTAGCTATCACTCGCCATAAATGCGTATAAGCAATCTCAAACTGACCGACGTTCTCCTTAGGATTTGAACCCTCATTTGTCTCTTAAAATGCTGGCACGTGGCCTAGTAGTAAAGGTTTTAACCAGGAAGTTTCCAACCAGAGCCTCTAAGTAATAGAACTTTATTAGTGAAAACCAAGAGGAGGAAAATGCATAACCAGTTTTTAAAGTATTTCAGTGGAAATATGCATGCACTAGTTATACCAATTTGGAGTTGATTGTTAGATAAGCTATACAATCTCCGTTTCTGGGTATCCGACCCTCACGTAAACCATAATGAGACGTACGAAAATAGAAGTTCTGTAAAGGTAACATAATTTTTAGATTTTATGGCTTACTATACTTATTTTGTATGTCGCTAACACAGTTTATTTTGTTTTTTTTTTGCTATTAGTTATCCTCTTGAACAAATTGATATGGGAAATAAATCAAACTGGCATAAAAGTCAAGTGAAAAACCACGCTAGATCTATGTGTTGCCGTTACTCCAATAAAAAGTATAAACTAGTAACCCTCACAAAATTCGGGTAAAGTAACGCGTAATAACACTCATAGTTTATTAAAGTTTCCTCTATTAATAACTAAGTTTCAGTAGGCTTGATGCAACTTTTTAAGGTCTGTTTTCTTCTTCCAGAAAACTAAGAATAGAATAATGGGCCTAAGTCGCTTAGCCAAATAATTTCACAAATCCTGTTTATTGACCCGAAAGACAAGTAGTTACAACATCACATAAATATTCTAACAGTAGCTACATTTGAAAATTACCAAGAACGATTTCACTATATCTGAACCACCAGAAGCAAGAAATCTGGTGTTACTGTAGGAGTCCACAAGGGAAGTGAAAAAAGTCTACCAACAATTAAAAATTGTATCTTTGGGTGGATAATCTTAAAGCTTTTAGTTGAACTATTTCTCTGGAAACGTCTGCATGTCCATTATGTCCTACAGTCACTGAACATCACCTCACTTAACAAGAGCCGATTCGGAAAAGAAATCCAGATACTTAAATATCATTGTAAGCCCAAATAAAACTATGCATCATCAGATTACCTCAAGGAGAGTGGTGAAATTTTTATACAGAGATTTGACTCGTTTCTATAAAATGGTATAGTAGACTAAGAGAGTTTAGTCACTCTGCTTTATGACGTAATTTTTTTTGTTTTCGAAGTTGATATGAATAATCTAGTTAACAATCATTAAAGTGAGGTTCATTAAAAGTTGCGTTAAAATATTGGCCGCTGTCATATTGCGCAAATTATGTGAAACGTATAAAAACAACCCATAAGTAGAGGTTTATGTTTCATTCAGAAGCGATGCATTGTCAAGCTCTCATCCTCTAGATTGTCACTACAATACTATAGACTAACCATCATTATATTCTTCCAACATTATGATTACATTGAACAGTAAAAGGTTTTTACATTGTTTGTTTAAGAATTCCCATTCATTCAAGACCCTGGAAAAATTCTCATGTGGAGTATTTGTAGTCACATTCATTCATTGTTTTTATAATCGAAGGTGAATCAAGTAAGGTTGGTCAGCTTTGTCATTTCTCTTCAGTTTTGTATTTAAAGGTACTTCGAAAGCAGTTCTGAAAAAAACTAACAATCGAGAAAGTAAGCCTGTATCTACAAATGAAATCCATTTTAATCATTATTCAGTTGAAAAATATATTAACGAGAAATTTAAACAAGTTATGTGTTATTACAAGTGGTTTTTCAAAGTATCATTCCAGTATGATAGAGTCATTACAACAATAATTTTTAAAAGAATGGGGATTTGTGGAGATGATAGTAATTTTAATAGTTGAATTTATGAGTCAAATGAAACTAGACCACAATTCAAAACCTGAAAGCATTGGAGGGCCGTCTTGTCCTAGTATGAGACTCCTCAACAGTACGCATCCATTGTCTCGCGTGTGGGATTTGAACTCAGTGCATTCGGTCTCTGGAGTGGACGTTTAACCTCTAGACCACTGAGCCGGTCGGTATCCAACGCTGTTGATATCTAAGTTCAATCGATTCATGATCTTGTGTGACTATTCATCCATTGTCTATCTTAGATCAAATCATGAATTCAACTATTAATATAATTTTAAGAGTAAAATAAACATCTGTCAAAAGCCTCAGTTGTGGCTGAAATACGTTGTGAATTTTAAAATATTAAATAAGCCGAATAGAGATTATTGAACAAGCTAAGAATTCTTTGGTTTATTAATCATGTAAATATTAAGTAAAATCTTATAAATCAATAAATTCTCTAAGCAGTGCTTAAGTAAGCCACTAACTGATTAGTTACACTAATTTATATGATTTACACTAGTATCCCTATCTTATAGTTACGCGTTTCATGTTTCTTTTCGTCATCACCTTTATATATATTTATGGAGATAAAGACTAGACTAACAGGGGTTTTACCGAGGTCCTCCAACCGTTTAGAAAAATTGTTATTATCAGTGACTGATTTAATGTATTTTCATGCTTCACCATTTTAAAAAGATAAATCTGTTTCTTCCCTTTGTTTAACTACTGTTTTATGAACTATAACACATTAATCATTCAGCTATCCACCACGAAACATTATTGGTTCTTAGAGGTGGGGGGGGGAGACCGAGGATAGATCTAGAAAAATAGTAAAAAAAATTCATTGTTGTCTACTTTCAATTTTGTAATGAAGAAGCAATTGTAGAATATACTTTGACAGTTTGAATAATTTCATTTGTTGATTATGATAAATATTGTTTGTAACTTGATCAATTTAACAGTCTATTATGAAAATAAATTTCAGATTGTATATTCGAACTCTAAATTAATTGCATTGATATTATAGAAATTTTCTTTCACTTATCTCAATTTCTTCTATTTTCCCTTTTTATATTATTTCCATCTTTGAAACATCATACTTTAAAAAAAAATTTATTATCTTCCCCTTTGACAAACTCTCCCTTTGAATTGTTGATTTTCTCACCAATAGAAAATAATTGATGACGGAAATTACTAGTCTGTATCTGTTACTTTTTGTCATACCGCGTAGGTGGAATCATATATATATATATATATATATATGCTATTAGAACAATAGATTAATACAATCACAATATTACATACATACACAATCTATTTAGCTTATAATATCATTCAGCACATGAAAATCATAGGTGACTATTATTAGTTATAGGAGTTAAATAAACTTTTTCCGGCTTTAACTATCATTCACAATATTGTAACGTATATATATATATATATATATATATATATATATATATATATATATATATATATATATAACCACTTAGCAACAGAATTACTAATCCAAACATTGTACTAATTTGATATGGATCGAGAATCGAACTTATAAATCATACAAGTTGTAAAAAACACAAATATTCCCTTCGAACTATACATAAAATAACTATTTGAATTGAGATTGATTCTCATTCTCAATATTAATGAACATTTCCATTGTCATCCTTATTAAACACAATCGAATTGAATAAGTAGTTGGTAAACTTTTCAAATTGTGCTCTGTTTAGAAGATTAGTAACGTAAAAGAAAAAATCTATAACTGAGTTGATCAGTGAATATTTTATTTGATTATCTAGTAAGTTTCACAGTTTTCTTTTCTTTTTTTTCTTTTACCACCTTTTCATTGTTATTTAGAAAACTTTTTTCATGATCTAATTCTAATGCATCTTGATGTTGTTGATGTCTTAGAGCATCATGTCGGAAAAAACATTCGATGAAGTAACCTTTATCATAAAAATCTGTCTAGAATGTTAACGGAAAGTGAAAGGTTGAACCGATGACAACATCATAGGATATGCAATCATTGAAATGTTGTACGTTGAAAAATAATGGTAATTGAAATGAAAATGTTAACTGTACAATTGATTTCTTGAATAAGCAATTTGATGAGGAGAAGAGAAAGGTTATCAGAAATAACATAATTCTAATATCTTTTGTAATCTCATTGCATTAACCAAAATCTAACAAAAGGACTAAATATTTTACGTAATGTGAACCTTTTCAATGTTTCCCATAATCGTCTTATATTTGTCTTATAAAATGAAACTAAGAAAGAGTAGTACTAACGACTAAACTATTGTTTAGAAGGTAATTTAAACAATTCCTTTTTTTTATCAGAAAGGGGCTTTGTAGATATTATAGTAATTTAATAGTTGAGTTCATGAGTCAATTGAAGTTAGATCATCATGGAAAACCTGGAAGCAGTGGACGGCTTTTTCGTCCTAGTGTAGGACTCCTCGGCAATGCTCATCCATGATCCCGTTACTATAGTTTATCTTCCAAAACTTCCACTATTCTAATATTGATATAAAGACATAACCATGATTAATGCACACTTCTAATTTGCTTCCAAATGCAATACATAAAACTTATTGTTAATATATAAATTGATAATAAATTACGTTGTCTTATTTATCATTTAGTAACATCAAGAACATCTAATATACATCTAGTATAAATTACAATGTAGGGCCATTGTTAACGGGTTTAGACAAGGGAATTTTATTTACTATTTGACATATTTTGAATATCATATCTTTGAGTTGGGTAGCATAATTAGATCATTAGGGTTGACATTAAAATTATGTGACCATTAAGTTTATTATTACATGAATGTACTTAAATAATAGTAGGGTTGAATTGTTTTCTTTTATACGAAATATTAGTTATTACGGTGGAAAAAGAATGAAATGTTTATCTCATATCATTTACAACTGCAGTTTTCCATCAAAAATGATAGAGGATTTTTTACATGCTTCAATTGTTGACAGAATAGTGTTAGTTCGTTCAACAATCAATAAGTGTTCGATAATGGAAGTTGAAGAAACGTTAATATTTGAAACAATTTTACCTAGTAGACATAGAGTAATCCACTTAGTACATCATGTATAATATATGACTAATGCACATTTTCAAGGTATTTTACTTATATTAATTTAAAAATTTATCAGAACTCTCTTAATCTTTCACTGTGAAGTGTATTGAATCATAAATAAGAGGTTTTATTCACTTTTGATGTATACTTTATATTCATTTTGCTCAATAATTAGTAACATGGTACCGATGAGCTTTTATCATTGTCCAATAATAACCAGATATTTATATCAGAAAGGGGTTCTATGGAGATTATAGCAATTTAATAGTTGAATTCATGAGTCAATTAAAGCTAGACCATGATGGAAAACCTGAAAGCACTAGAAGGCCGCGAGTGCCCACTACTGAGGAGTCCCATACTAGAATGAAACGGCCGTCCAATACTTACAGGGTTCCTATGGTGTTCTAGCTTTATTTGATTTATGAATTCAACTAATAGATATTTAGATTTTTGACAGTAAAATACAAGATTTCACATTGAAACTTCTAAAGTATTAGTTCAGAAGTTTAATTCTAAATTAAGCTTATAAATAACGTGTAAATTCTTAACCTAAGTACTATTATGTAAAGGTCAATCGTATTCTGAAAACCAAAATCACTAATATGAACTAGCAAAAACATATCAGAAACAAATTTCACAGCTTACCTGATAATTCATAAGAAATTGTTAGGAAAAAAGAAGGAAAACCAAAACATTCAACAAATCAGTCGACTATTGAAATCTTCTTACTATTTTTCATTGATAAATGAAAGTAGATTGAAATATAAAGAGCAATCAATAAAGAGGGAGTTTTCCTCTTGACAAAATCACTTGTTTGCAATCAGTAGTTACATTTGGGGCACCTCATCAATTTTAGGCACATTGCCCGAAGAAATCTATCTTTAAAATAATTTACATAATAAAAAAAAATGGGGTCAAATGGAAGATGAATAAAAAACGTATGCACTTCTAAGGTATCGGCATTTCACTAATTTAAGTTTGAACTCTGTTTGCAAAACAAATAGCACGTCCCAGTACGTTTTTGTCCTGGTTGTTTCTTTTTTTCATCATGACCAGTTATAACTATCCTCTAACAATTTTTTATGATTATTATTGAATTGATATTGTGACTTTTAAGTCTCTTATTGCTGCTTCACATTTATTAAGTGAATAATTGTCTAACATATTCATGGCCCATTAATTAACTTTATCCTCCCTATACTTTTCTAACTTTTCTGACGTTACGCAACCTTCTTTCGATATCTGCGATCTAGGAATACTTTATGACATAATCTTTTTTCTGTTCTTCTATAAACTTATACAATAACCAAAAAACTATAAACATAAATGTAAAAATTAAGTAAATGCGCGAGACTGATGGGTTCTGGGTCCGAATCTCACAAGGCGGGGCCGTGGATGCTCACCACTGAGGAGTCCCACAATAGAACGAAACGGCCGTCCAGTACTTCTAGGTTTTTCATGGTGGTTTAGCTGCAATTGACTCATGATCTCAACTATTGAAATGATTTTGTCAAGAAAAAATTCTCTTTATTTTTATTTATTGACACAATGGGTTATTTTAATAATTTAATGTAGATTAGCATAACTTGAGAATTTAAACAATTTGGCTAACCTGTAAAGTGAATTTGAAGACTAGATGTAAGCAACAGAGATAACTGTAATTTCCTGATGTTGCAGTGAAATAAACGATTTTAATATGATGCTTATTATCCAACATGAAATATTCTTTCTATTAATTTAGACTTTTCACCAATCATAGTAACCAATAATCGATGGTAGCTGACAGTGGAATCCAGAACGCGTATTTCGTTCTATTTGGGACTCGTCAACAGGACATGCCTGCTTCCCAGGGTTGATCATCACTCCGGGACTCGAAACCGTTGCCGTTCGCTTCATACACAAATTTAATACCCATTTAGCTACTGAATCCTGATAGCCAGTTGCTTTTGTAATGGAGTGAAGTTCGAATTCATTTGGTATTGCTTGCTTGAATCTCCCCATTGATGCTAATAAGAAATTGATCAATTGCAGTTCCAAACATTAATGGGAAGATTCATGCAAAGAATGCCAAATGACTTCATAGTAACCAATGCTCTGAAAAATCTTCAGTTTAACCGAATGATATGTATTAAGCTGTTAAAGATAGGTTCAATATCAGAATACCAGTTTCGTATGTGCTAACATCTTTGGAAAAGAATGGTTTCAGTACTCCAGAAATTACATTTTTCTAATAAAACTTTGACCAACATAGTTGAAAGCGTCAAATATAAACGACTCTATTAATCTCTTCTCCTTTTGATATTTCAAGCACACTTTGATAGCTGTTATCATCATGTTAACATCTCTTTACTAACTAACAGCACTACGGTTATATAAAAATTAAGATAAGCCAGAACAAGGTACTCATATCAAGCAACTTCAAAACACACTTCATCTTACATTAGTCTTTCAAACTAACAGTTATAGAATATATTTCGATAACTTACAACGTATATAAATTTATAACCAAAGTTAAATGTTTGACAAACAACATAAATTTACATTTAAAAAAATCAGTTGAACTCTTTCAAACTACACCTCTAATCTTGTTCAGTTCCAAGTTCCTAATAATCGTTTAATCTCCTAAACAGGCAAACTTAGAGATCTACTAATCAAACATTTAATTGTTTTCCCTCTACAATCGCGATAATAAGTACTTGCACTAAATTGACAATAAGGATTTTCCTAAAAAACCTACACACTATAAAAAATATCTTTTATGATTTAACGAATTACTACTTATTATGATAGTTTTAACATTATCTAAGCTTTGTTCATTTTTTATATCTTATTACAAGTCTGTCTCATTTTTATTAGAACTACTAAGAAGTTCATAGTTCTTTCCATGAATGATTTTTTTTGTTTTTTTTACTTTATACCCAGTGATTATCAGGTAGTTTATCATTGAATGTTATTTTCTATTTGTGATTGCCATAAGAATAGACATAAAATAGGATATTACGCAAAATGGTGCAGCATAAAAACGATATACGCTACGCATTGAATAAGACTTCATTGAAATAGTCTAACAATTTTTAATGTATCAGAACGGGTGTTCTGTGAATATTATAATGATTCCAATAGTTGAGATCATGAGTCAAATGAAGTTAGACCGCCATGGAAAACCTGGAAGCACTGGGCGGTTGTTTCGTCCTAGTATGAGACTCCTCATCAGTGCACATTCACAATTCCCCACATGGGACTCAAACCCAGGACCTTCGGTATCGAGTGCGAACGCTTAGCCATGTGCTCACTAATGACTAGCTTCGTGCGTTAATTCTCGGAGTTCTAGTAAGAAGCTGTGACCACTGGAGTTCAACCGTGTCAGTTGTGAGGCAGTTACTCATTGAAGAAAATGGTGGATGATCGCGCAATATGGTGGATTAGTTGAAGTTAGAAATTAACACCATTGGATACGCGCGAAACCGAATGCTGTGAGTTGGCATTCCACGTGAGTGATCGTGGATATGCACAGTTGAGGAGTTCTATACTAGGACGGAACGACCTTCCAGTGCTTCCAGATTATCCATGGTGGTCTAGATTTAATTGACTCATGATCTCAACTATTGAAATTTTGAATATCTTCACAAAATAGTGTTAAATATTCAATATATAACAGTATGAGATTCATTAGTTTTGCTCTGGTATCATCAAAGGATGTA